AATATTTAGCTTTTGGGGTCATTGCCTGCTTATTCTATTTTTTTCTGATTGCCATCTCAAAGTAAAAAAAATAATGATTAGAAGTTAACTGAAAAAATAAACCGAATAATTAATTTATCACATTTGCCACCAACTATCAAGACTAAAATGTAGGCCTAGATTTAAAAAAAAAAGATTAATCATTTATTAGATTGTATACTCCTCAAGAAGATTAAAACCAGATTTGGAATCCCCTTGACATGCATAGCGTTTCCCCTGACATGATATTGTTGTCGTTTTTGTTGCAGGGAAAGATGTGAAAGCCTATGCTATAAAACTTGGAAAATAATATACAACGCAACGATGAATACTACGTATTAAATTTTGGGTTTCCGATTAGCTTTAATCACAGTTACAAAAACATCCTCTTCCGTCTGTATAGGCTACTAGCTTTTATGTAAACCGTTTGCATTTAAACAATAAATACCGAATGAAAAATCGATTTGGTTTCCTTTTATATAATTGTTATCTATTCGTATAGTGTTTCTCACTATAATAACTGTGTAGGGATATACATACACATCGTTTACTATTTCAACGTACGTTTTTATATAGACAATTTTTGTCAACTCATATAATATATATGCTGTCGCTTGTGAAGGAAACATAGCAGCAACTTGTTATTCTTTCCTGAAGATCAGATTATGTAGACCGTGTAGACAACTAGAATTATAACATCAAAATACAACCGTTTCAACAATAGACATTGTGATACGAAGAGACTAAAACATATACTAGAAAAGACTTGCAGGTACACTGGTGATTGTTTATTCTTTTCTATCAGGGTGTTTTTTCAGCGTACGCTAGACGGGGATCTTCATCAATTAACTCGCAATGTCTCGCCCAACTCACTTATGAAAGCCCACATCACTCGAGATATAAGGCTCTAAGCTGCGCATTACAATTCATTTTTGTTCACGCGAGAGCCTACAAATGTAATCAAATCTAAAGTTAATTCCTCGTCTATTGTGCCGTTGATAAGCTACAACAATATTGCCTATATTCTCAAGTTACGATCGTTTCTTTTTTTCTTGTCTCCTTTCCTCCTCTTTCTATTCTTCTATCTCCTTTCATGATTGACAAAAGCGCATATCAATTTTAAAATAAGAAAATGTCCTCGAGTGGGGTGAGTAGTTCACGTAAAATATCCTGTTATTAAAAATCCTGATAATTAAATAATAAAACAAAAAAGAGTTTAAGAACATCAACACATTAATAATATATAAGAAGATGCTTAAACGTTTTTTTATGAAGTTGAGCGGGTACTTTCTATCAAACGAAATCAATTCGTTGTATTACTAGATAAATGGAGACATGTGCAACTGATGTAACAATATTTGTTTTACCGATTTATCACAACATGTACTTTGTTCGAATCTATAGTTTTATTCTTGCTCAAGAATGATTGAATAAAAAAATTCTTTGTAAAATTCTTATTGAAATGATTCAAAAATAACCTGAATACTTATGAAATTCGTGACAAACAGACTAGAACAATGATGTTCATTGAACACAGTGAAGAGAGTGATTGAAGTGATTGCCTCTAACCCCCTGCCGGGAAGGTCCACAATTAGCGTATGGATACCTCCTTCACTGATTAAATCATTAACACCCTTCCCTCTCAATGTAAACACCTGCTGTTCGATCATTAGATCCACTAACACTCATTAGATACAAGGATGAGCTACACGATACCGCTATCGGCGAGAACAGCCAGGCCAACCTCCCACATTCATGTACGCGGACGCCAATGATTTGAGGTCATGTCTGATTGCCAGGTGGGAGAGGTGATCACAACCCCCCCCCCCCCCCCTCCCCCTCCCCCCTCCCCCCTCCCCCCTCCCCCCCCCCCTCTCCCCGCCTTTTTTTCATTTCTTTTAAAATTCTGATCTATCACTTTGGCCTAGGTACAGACTTCGATGTGTTCGATTAGTTACAGCCAGCCTTACTTTATTCTACATATATTCTTTTGTCATTTGTAAAATTTGCAATGTTTGTTTGTTATATATTTGTAAAAATGCAAAAGAAAAAGAAAATCAAACAGAAATAAATCAATCAAATCAAATCAAATCAAATCAAAGAAGGGTGTAAACTTTCACCAAAAGCACATGGATTGTCCGACCAGGAATACGTCGGAAAGTTGAGTTAGCATCAAATTTACTTTCGAAAACAAACACATTTTTTTAAAGGAAAGAATCTCAATTCTATCTAATTTTGAGGACCTCCATCAGGATGAATTTCTGTTTTCTAGTATAATGAAATGATACTTTAAATTCTCGTAGAAATAGAGTAACTGTATTGCCCATCAAGCGCCAGTTCATTTATCTCTAAAACGTTAAATACTTTGTATCATCCCATTTATTTTGACAGCACAGGTTGGCAAATCAAGTCTAAATGAGTACTGAAACGAATCAAGTTGGATTTTTTCTTCTTTTGTTTTTCGCCTCACATTTTTACCAATTGTGCTCCAAATTGCGTTTGGAAGCGTGACCAAGACACCCTCCATGCAGTTTGGTAACGTAGACATGGTCGTTGACATTGTACGTGCTATTCAGAAAACTGTTTCGCGAAGGTCATTAGCGAACTGGGGAGAAAAATGGGGTCAATATAAACAATCCCCTCTGGAACTTGCCAGTCTAATTAGTCCTACTACTAATCGAGCACTGGCCCATTTTATATAGGTAATTACGCCATTACGAACAGCTTGTGACCAGCCGTAACCTATTATCATAGTAACTCCATGCTATTATGTTCGCACGGGTCAAAGACAGAATTGTTAATTATTTTGTACACACTATAAATCTTTCGGATAGAAATGAAAACCGGCAGATCTTGTCAAGATGAATACCGTTCTTGTCAAGATGAATACCGTATTCATCTTGACAAGATCTGCCGGTTTTCATTTCTATCAGGCTGATATATAAATCACGTGCATGTTCACAACAATGCCGATATAATTGACTCAATACCGTTAAATTCCTCTTTTTCTAAGATCTTGATAAATCATTAATCTTGGGTCAATGTAAAATTCGATAGCTTTATACTTTAACATCTTTGTCGTACAGCAAGAAACTTTAGAATTATTCTCGTGCCACCACGGCAGAACTAAGAGAAGACAAAATATCTTGTGCTTTTACCCAAAACATATCATATCTTCTACGCCCTATATTTATCACACACCCTTTATCTAGCCCGGAACTAAAATATAGGCTAATTCTTAGGTTAGTTCTTATCAGTAATATTGATAAAGATATCAAGTGAAAAGCACACGTCTATGAAGTTTTACGCAAAGGGTCTAGAACAATAGGAATTGTGAGTAAATTGAAAGACATCTTGCAACCAATATTCTTGTACACTGTTAGAAAAAAATTAAACAAGTTGTTTAAAATTTTAAAAAACCCCGAGTTAACCGGTGAATCGCTCAACGTTGTTTAAAAATTAAACAAATTAAGGTTGTTTACATTTTGAACACTTAGTTGTTTAAAAATTGGGAAAACTTTTAAACAACAGTTGTTTAGTAATAAAATTGCACAACTCGTTTGTTTAAAGCAAGTTGTTTAAATTTTAAACAATAATGTTTAAATTACTAAGCAACTGTTGTTTATTCAGTATTACTGCACAACTGGGTTGTTTAAAAGGAGTTTCTTAAATTTTAAACAGAACTGTTTAATGGTTATTATCTGGTTGTTTGAATTTGTGAAATGACCTACTGGAACCACTCCTGCAATAATCACAACGATTTATACACTGTAACATGCAGAGCTTGTTGCCAATTTACATCAACATTTGTTCATCATATTCATGGCAGTGACAGACAACAATATTATTTGTCTCTATAACTTCACCTAAACCCCATCGGCGAAGCCGAGAAGAACCAAGTTGTCGCCTTGCCCTTGTTCCACCATTTTCGTATGCACTTGCACTGCACACTAGCACTGCATGCTTGCATGCATGTATTATGTACGTACTTTGTGCATATATCGCATGTGTGTGCGCAAATTGCAATCGCGTATCGAGAAAATATCAACGACGCCCCCGGGACTTTTTAAACAACTCTGTTTAATTAAATATTTTTGTCTTTTAATACATAGTTGTTTAAGTCAATCGAGCACTGATTTTTCGATTTTGAACAACGTTGTTTACTTTTTTAAACAACATTCTTTTAAACAGTGATATTTTAAACACCGTTCTAACAGTGTAATGGTGTATAAACTCACTAATGTTAGCTTACTTATGCTACTGAAACATTATATGGGAGTTTTGTAAACAACACTTGCTTGACCGCATTGTCCTCCTTTAAAAGAGAGCAGTTCTTATAATTTGCCACGAGCCATTTTCTAAAGCCCGAGCAGACCTCTATTCCTAAATTTGAATATTTTTCTAATCTCATTATTATATGATTTTCAACTGTGTGTTTTATGTATTCCTATTATCATCAACTGTTAACAGAAATTGTTTTGATATTTTTCAGAGCAACAAAGATATTCATAGGTATAATACCAGGAATTCAACAAATGATGTATTTTTTATGCAAAAACCCCTGGAACACACTATCCCCCAAACTTAAACAGTGTGCATCATTTAACAGTTTGAAGCATAATATAAAACTGCCCTGGTGCAGAAGCCTTGAATCTAGCAAGAGCCCTTCTTATGTTTGTAATTACCATTCTACTACTTGTTGTCCCTTCTGTATTTTGTGTAGGATCATCTACCTATAACTTTCTATAATTTTTGATGACTCACTGTTGTATTGTATTTTTTTACTTTGCATGTTTTTCATGAAAGTGGTCAGTAATTTGAAATCAATTCCATACAACCCATATTGCAATATTCTCGGTATTAATTTCCTCTTTATTATCATGTAATCATTCTACATCGATTCCACCTTGCCTAGATTATTAAAAAAGGCAAGGAAATTGAGAGGTTTGTTACAATAAAATAAAATGAAAGACTGTACTCACTTCTCTGGGTGATCCTTCTGTCACGAAGAATAGATAGACCATGTAAGATGGGATACACATCATTGAGCTCAGAGCCACTAACCACCCAATCACCTCGCCCCATACAGGATACGTGTAGTCTTCGTACTCAACCCGTTTGTATTTTACCAAGCTGAAAAGAAATACGCCCTGAAAAAAGAAAGGAAAGTGATGGAAACGTTACATTTTCCCAGCCTTTACATTTTCATAGAAATCATATTGCTATCTTTGAAGAAAGGAAAAAAAAGCATTTTCGTTAAAAATAAATCGTCATGCTGTACATGAATAACTATAATGCTCAATAATACAATTCTATATATTTTTTGGAACTTTTCATCTCTATTAAATTCCTTCTTTCTCTGTAAGTTTGATGGCTCGATTGAAAAATGTACATGTATGTGGAACAGATATATTCAAACAAAGTAGGAGAGCCACAAGTCAATACCGGACAGTTTATATTTATATTCATATATATATAATGATATCCGATATTAAGTCCACGTGCTGGCTTGATAATATGATATCCAAAAGATAAAAAAGTGACATTTCTTGCTATGTATTCTCACAGTTTTTGTTTGTCGGGTCACACATTGTTGACATTACCTAACGTCTTTAACAAGCAATTAGAATGAACGATTAAGAATAATAACACCACCAATAACAAGGCACATTAACTTGGGAATGCTATACAGCTCAAAGAAATATATTAGTGAAAAGTTCGAACACGTCACAGAGACAACGCAATTCAGTAGTGAGATTAATGAGCATTACTGAATAATGCTGAGAAGCGCCTCCAAAGCAACCAGGCACATTGCCTTGGAAACGCTTTACAGCTTAAACAAAATTGGTGTAAAGTTTGGAACACCTCACAGAGACGTTTTGAGAGTGATAGATTGATAGAGGGACAGGGAGGGAGAGGGAGAGAGGGAGAGGGAGATAGATACAAAGAGAGAGAGAGAGGGGGGCCTGGGAGTGAGGGAGAGAGAGGGGGAGAGAGAGAGAGAGATAGAGGGAGGGAGAGGGAGAGAGGGAGAGGGAGATAGATACAAAGAGAGAGGGGGCCTTGAAGTGAGGGAGAGAGAGAGGGGGGAGAGAGAGAGAGAGAGAGAGAGGGAGAAAGAAAGAGAGCAGGACTACTCCAATTTTATTAAAATCGTATAACATATTCGTTTAAAGAAAGACGAAGTGTACTATCAATCATGTTATTAAACATTCTGTTTTCCAGGTTGATTTCTCTCAATCTTTTTTTAATATAGGCCTATCATTATTCCAAAAGATGTTACGATATTACATTTTTCATACACCATGTACTTACAAATGTTTGAACATGATTTTTTTTTTCTCCCTGATTCGCGAGTTTTCCCTTCTTTTATCGCGTTTTTACCGCGGGTATTACAGGAACGACTTTCATTACCCCATGCACGTACATGTAGAAGGGAAGAGTCCCAAATTGGTATTTGTCAAGGTGATATAAGAACCCAAGTGGATTCGATCTACGTCAATTTATAGCGAGAGTACGTGTTCGGTTGAATGAGCTATCTCAGGAACGTTCATTACATGCAAAGAAATCCAGTTATATTACTAGACACTTATTTAGTTGTCCTCAACTGGTTTGAATGTCCGGGGATTTGCATAGTTTGGTTTACCAGGTAAAATAATAAAGAGGAAGGAGAGAAGATTACTAAAATAAGAGAGAAGCACAAGAACAAGAGCGAGAAGTAGAAGACGAAGAAGACTAAGGAAAGGGAAGAAGAAGAAGAAGAAGAAGAAGAAGAAGAAGAAGAAGAAGAAGAAGAAGAAGAAGAAGAAGAAGAAGAAGAAGAAGAAGAAGAAGAAGAAGAAGAAGAAGAAGAAGAAGAAAAAGAAAAAAAAAAAAAAACAAAAAACAAAGAAGAAGAAGAAAAAGAAGAAGACGAGGAAGACGAAGAGGATGAAGAAGACGAAGAAGACGAAGAAGACGAAGAAGACGAAGAGACGAAGAAGACAAAGAAGAAGAAGAAGAAGAAGAAGAGGAAGAAGAAGAAGAAATAGAAGAGGAAGAAGAAGAAGAAGAAAAAAATGAAGAAGAAGAAGAGGACGAAGGAGACAAAGGAGACGAAGGAAACAAAGAAGAAGAAGAAAAATAAGAAGGTGATGAAGAAGAAGTAGACGAAGAAGATGAAGAAGACAAAAAACAAAGAAGAAGAAGAAGAAGAAGAAGAAGAAGAAGAAGAAGAAGAAGAAGAAGAAGAAGAAGAAGATGAAGAGGATAATGAAGAAGAAGAAGAACAAGAAGGACAAAAAAAAGAAGGAGACGAAGAAAACAAAGAAAAAGAAGAAGAAGATGATGAAGAAGCAGAAGACGTTGATGAAGAAGAAGAAGAAGAAGAAGAAGAAGAAGAAGAAGTAAAAGAAGAAGAAGAAGAAGAATCGGATAAGAAACGCACAAATTTTGATAATTAATGAGGAAAATATCCAAAAATAGGAGAGCATAAATCGACGAATTTGTTAAACATAAAGAACCAACAATTAGCCATAAAAAGTTTAATCTGCATGTTTAGATTCTACTCGGACGTGTACATGTATAATGCACCATTAATACCCATGCTTCTGTCGTCTTGTACACAAGTTCGAAGAAGAAAAAAGAAAATAAATTCAGACGAAATACATGTCAAAGAGAACAGTGCTGAGCAACCCTACTGTATTTATGTTTAGTTTTGTTGTAAACACATTTCGGAAACGCGATGATAAAGAAGAAGCCTAAATCTGCTGCAGTGACAAATTTCAATTTTGCGGATAAGGATTTCCCTTGGCTTTTCTTGATATTCCAAACCTTTAAAGCCTGTATGCACTAGTTTGGCCAGGAGGGATTAGACCTCCCAGCATGGTCACTGACAGGTGGTTATCTCATCAAATCAGCTCTCACTTAACATAAGAAAAAGGGGACCATGGGGGACCAACGGTCACCGCTTAGGCATCGTTTGCTATATAGAGGGCGGAAGCAGATATAAGTAGTGCAGTGGGGCTTTGAATGAAACCTACCACACAGATGAGAGGCGTGAAGATGGTCCAGCAGAGTTTCCACCACATCATAGGTCGGTAGCCCAACATCTGCTCAAGGTTCTTATAGAATCTGTTCACACCTGATTGAGAAGGAAACAAAAATCGAAAAGAGGATTTTAGGAAAATAAATTTGAGACTGAAAGTTTTAAGTTCTACAACATGAGTTTTATCTAGTCTGACTGCTTTCATGAACAAAAAAAGAATTACTAGGTCAAAGATTGTTGGATAATTCTTAGCTAGATATTTGACGAATGAAATGATAGAATAATTGTTCATACCGCATACCGTGTAAATTAAAAAGGGAGAACAAAAGCGTTGCCAGACAATTTTGAAGGGGGGGGGGAGACAAATTTTACCAAGAAGTTTAAAGAATTTTCCAGTATTTCTGTGATTTTTTTCCGTGACATACTAAAACTTGAGTTCTCCTTCTCCCTCCCCAAACTTGGACACTGACATAACTAGGGTATCGTTTCATGAAGCCGCCCTAAGTTCAACGACATCCCATTGAAACGTGTATTAATTACAATACATGCGTTTCGATGGATGTCAGTGAACTTGTACCTATGGAGGATTCGTAAAACGCTTCCCAGCTTACCAATCTTACATTGGCTTTGATAAAATCAAAATCGTCTTTAAACCCTCGGAGAGGACCTAAAGCCGTCGGCCCTCTGGTTGCTTACTAACAAGCATTTATGCTTTCTTATACCACCACCACTCCTTTAAACCTAAAAGACGCAAGTAGAATTCGACACAGTATAGAAAACCTTCCTTTTAAAAATTCAAGCTAGTGAATATTTATACATTCTTAAAATTGTGGTGTATAGCTTACCATAAAACCAACTGACTCCTATAGTCTGGAAAAAGGTCAGGAAGAGAAGACTAATCCCACTAGATGAGTAAGTATTCAGAAGCTCAAATACGTAGATACCACCCTGGGACAAGAAGAAAAAAACAGTCAATTACTAACACAATAATAAAGATGATGATAATAATAATAATAATAATGATAATAAATACCTATAACGCGCACTTATCTAAAAACTTACTCAAGGCGCTATACAAAACAAAATACACAAATCTCTCCAGAATTTAACAACATGATAAAATTAGTAGCTCTGAGTAAATACATGCTTTTTATCATTTTCTGAAAAGTTTCTAGGCATTGAATATTTCGAATGTCACTTGGCAGCTAATATTTTCACATCTTATTTTGGTTCCTATCCATATAATCCAAATAGTGCGTCATAATGAGAATTACAAATGTGTCACTGATTTCAGAAACAGGAATATGAAAGAGAAATAATTTGCCTGTTACTTCATACAAATAGAGAATACGCCATTAAAAATGCATGCCTCTCCCTCTCATAATCATAGATCAGTAACTAGAATGTTTGGTAACATATTTTCATAATTATGACTCACTCCCTAAGATAAAAATAAGGCCATAACACTTAGAGATGGAAAGACAGACATATATATAGAGACATACAGACAGACGGACAGACATAGAGAGACAGATAGACATACAGGCAGGGCGAGTGAAAGAGGGAAAAAGAGAGCAAAATAATTAGAAATAAAAGTAAAAATAGAACAAAACAGAAAGGGAAAGAAAATTTAGAAGTGAGGGATTAATAGACAAATAGAGAGTTGTAAAATGAAGGGGAGAATATAGATAGAGGATAGAGAGAAGGTAAATGATATATAAGAACAATTATAAGGCAGTGAAAAAAAATAAACGGGGGCTCAGGGCGAATTTGCCCCCAAATGCCCAAAAGAGACCACGAAAATCAGAAAAGAGCCCGTATAAATTTGCAAAGAGTTCAATGCAAAACAAATTTTAGTTATTTTATGCAGGCAAGCTTGAAAAGTAGCCCCGATTTTTTTTTTTTTTTTTTCCTGAGAAAGGATGCAGAGAGCAACGACGAAAATATGGAGAGAGATAGAGGGAGAGAGGAAGAGAGAGAGAGAGAGAGAGAGAGAGAGGGAGGGAGGTGGGAAGAGGTTGGAGATGGGGGAGGGAGGGGGAGTGGTGTACCTGTGTAATACATCCGATCCCAATGAGATATGATATGAAGCAGACGACTGCAATGAAGATTTCTTTATGCTTGCGAAGATACCGTGGCCACTCATCAATGCATGCTGTGAAGAAGCCTTCCATCGTACAGAACTATGTCAACAGAAACAATTGAATATGAATTATCGAAGCACTACAATTACTCAAATTTGTTGGGATTCATTCCGGCTGTCATAAGGTAGATGAAGATGTTGATATTGTAGATTATATTTGAATATCAATTGAATTTATATCGAAGAGAGGTTTATCATTATCCTGGGTGATAAAGGCTGCATTTCCAAAGAAGATATTAAACTTTTCACATTGCTACGATAAAGCTAATTCATCTTCCTTGGATAATAATGTCAAAGTGGTTCCATAACTCCATAATAAATCATTACATTGAGAAAAGGGTATTCAAAGATTGCGCTATATGGATAATTATCATAAAAGTTTCACATTCCCTTTGCTCACACGATAGCATTTACATATCATATGGCAATGTCTGAGATCTATAGTTTCCTTGGTTTCCTCGGTGACATCTGTTTAGAAGATAGTGAATTATATATCTAAACAATGACATGGATTAATTATATAGTTAAAACAGGTTGTCATAGGTTTCATATTTTCCGACAACAAATTTTCTTAAAGTTATCAATATTTGTGATTTGTCGACAAGGCACAAATTCGCCAACAGAAACACGAACACATTTGAAGAAAAAAAAAAAATCGGTTATCGAAGATGGCGCTGCTTTTGCGAAATGTTAGGAACCTTTGAGTGCGTGTGTATCTCTCATCTTCTTCTCTTGATGATTCGGAGTATCCTGATTTGTCGTAAGCCTTTCAACTGGTTGAAAGCATGTCAAAATATCGAGGAAATTCTTCTAAATTGGTGCTCCATCGCCTGCCTTGAAGAAGAAAGAAAACGCAATCAATTGGCTACGCTCGCTCATTTCGGAAGGTATAAATTGTCCTACACTAATTTTACAATTATGAATTGGGAGTTTAAACCTTCGGTTGTCATAGTTACCTGTGAATCAAGACCGACCATGAAGATCATAGAGAAGAACATAACGGCCCAGACTGCTGGGAACGGGAGCTGAGCGATGGCTGCTGGGTACGCCAAGAACGTAAGACCAGGACCTTTTAAAGAAAACAGCAAAATACAAAAATATATTAAATTGAATGAAAAAGATCATGGATTGTTTAAAGGGGAAGTCCACCCTGAAATTAAGTTAGTTTTAATAGGAGTAGAAAAATTAGAGAAACAAGTCAGTGAAAGTTTGAGCAAATTCCGATTAAAAATAAGGAAGTTAGGATTTTTGAAGTTGTGATCAATCAAACACAAATTGGCAACTCTATGACGTATCATGCGAGCTCAACTTCCATTTGCTCAGTACTAAAAAAATCTAAAATTTTCATTTTCCCTCAAGAAAAATTTCAACCATACATGCACCCTAAATATAATAATTGCAAATATGTTTCTATACTCCCCCTGCAAGGAACAAATATATATTCCGTCATCAATAACGAAGAAAACATGATTTTATGGAATATTATGCACAAAGCAAATGAAGGAGAGCTCGTATGATAAGTCACAGAGTTGCCAATTTGTATTTGATTGATCACAACTTCAATAATTCATAACTTTCTTATTTTCATTCAGAATTTGCTCAAACTTTCACTCACCTGATTTTCTTATTATTCTGCCTCTATCGAAACAAACTTATTTTGGGGTGGACTTTCCCTTTAACAAAAACAAGGGAGTTTCGACGTGTCCGATTTGTTTAGATACATGTGAACATGATTCCAGATATCAACAAACACGGAGCAGAATCATACCAATCTAAATGTATATTTAAATGACAGAACAGACCATTTTTGTCAATGATACAGTATCGGTATAATTCTTATATATCCGCATGCCAAAATATGACTGTTCCGTCATATAACATGAGAAGGTGGATTATTTTATTAATTTATGTACAAAGCAAATGGGAAATTCCTCATGTGTGACGTTACACTTCATGACTGCATTGTGATAGAAGATTCTCCATGTCCTTGGTGGTCCAAACTATTAAAAAATGTATAACTTTCCTATTCTTGCTTTTTTCACTAATTTGTTTCTCTTACTTTTTTCTGAATATATACTAGAGTAACTTGTTTCTTGGAGATTGAGCTTTAATATGTTAAAGCTCATATTTGAATTGCAACATTCAGCTCTCTAGACCACCTGTCACTACGTGCAGTCAGAAGTAATTTCGGCCTTTAGGAACAAGAACAAGAACCGAAAATAACATCGCTAGTGACATTCGTTTGTCTCGCAATGTATGGTCAACAAGTGATCAAAAGATCACGACGTTTCGTGCGCCGCTGCAACACTTCGTCAGGTGAGAAAATATATCGGTGCACGAAACATTGCGAGACAAACGTAAGTCACTAGCGATATTATTTTCGATACTATATCCGCAATGAGTAATATATTTATTTTAGCATTAAGAACAAGAACCTTACCGCTTGTGGCTACATCGGCAACATCTTTGTTCTGTACATGAGCGAGATGACCCAGCGTCGAGAATACGACAAAGCCTGCAAAGAAGCTGGTTCCCGTGTTTACACAAGCTACAATCATCGAATCTCTATTTGATTTAAAACAAAATGATTGATATTTCAGAATGAATGACATGACATATACAATTATACCTGCAAGCACCACAACCTAACTTTAATTTCTTGGCATTTCATCCTAACGTATGTGGATCAGGCATGCAGAGTATCCCGCAGAATTAGAAAAAGTGAGTATTCCAACTATTCAATTCCATTTAATTCAAGACCTTTATTCCAGACTCAGCTGCAAGAGGAGAGGTCAATATAACATATTTACATGTAGATATAAACAATGAACAAGAATCAGAAGAGAACACATGAATATACAAGAAAGAAAAAAACTTAACTACTTTAATCAACCTCTATACTATCAATCGCATACATTAAACAATAATGTAAGACTGTGACGTTCTCAATTTTGAAGAATTAATTATATAAGAATCATCAAATTCTCAAAATTATGAATGCAAGCGTGCAGTTAATCATTTTTCATCATGTCCTTCAAAGTTTGGACTGAAGAGTTTAGTGCACAATGCCAGGACATTTATCTCGTTCACACTGTCTTCTGATGCAGAGCTACCCCCACAATGCATCAGTGATGGACTACCATCCTCATCCTCAAGAAAATGTGTATTTTATCTTCAGTTCCGGGTTACCGGGACAACCAGCGAGACGAGAGGTAGTTCTTCTTTAACACGGTGCAATCTACATACAGAAATAAACAGGGGCAAAAATGCTTTCCAGATGGGGGTGGAGGACCTGGGGAGCCTCAAGTGAAAAAGACCCATTGTGAATATCATCGGTCGTTCTCTTGGCCTTTAAATGACAGGAAGGGGTGTATGCCGGCTCCACCATATGGATGGATCAGTAAAAGTGACCCTCCCACCCCCCCCCCCCCATAGCACCATGAGCGAGTCTCTTTTTTACCTGTAGACATTATTGCTGAATTTGTTGTAGCTTCCTAGAGCAATAAGACTTCCGATACCAGTTCCATATGAGAAGAAAATTTGCGTTGCCGCATCGATCCAAACCTGAGTGAGAAACACAAATTAGGGATTAAATAATCGATTTGCCAATTTTTCTTTTTCGTAAACATCTTGAAAATCGAGACACAATTTCTCAAATGACTCCTTGGGGTTGCCGAGATATCGAACATATGAATCTCACAGGATTATGTTTGGACCGTGAAACCTTGTCTTGTAGATGATCAATTCGACTTTGTAAATATTATTTGTCAACACTATAATAAGTTATAATAAAGTTGTCATTTCACTGAAAAACTGCAATATAACAAATTCATGCTTAAATATTACTTGGATGTTCAAACAAAAGTCTCCTTTTTCTTTTCATATATTACAGATGTGAAACATATACGAATTATTAATTATCAACAACAACAAAGATAAGCAACAACAACAAATAGCAATCATAATTATAACAAATATTAATAAAAACAAAATCAAGGTAGTATTTACCCCTGAATCTGTGAGTCTTGAGAAGTTGGGTTTGATGTAGTAGATGATACCCTCTCTAGCGCCCTCTAACGTCACTCCTCGGAAAAACAGAACGATCAGCATAACATACGGGTAGAGAGCGGTGAAGTAGACCACCTGTTTGATTTAGAAAGTAAGAGAAGGCAACGTAGAGATTCGTGTTAAAGCATTGTATGATTATTAACATCACAAAACATAATTTTCCAATATTTACTAGATATCATAAAATGTCTTGTGTGTCAATATTACGCCTTTCAATACGACATGGGTTTTTTGTAACAATCCTCTATCACTGTCTATCCGACCGGGGTATTCAAAGGCTAAATTCAGTTACCATGTAAAATCCTAAAGAATTAAATGAGAGATACCTTATTTGAGAAGTAATTTCTGTTTTCAAATGGATTCGAGAATTGAAAATGTACTACTTAATTTGACTCTCTTGTTGTGTTACTTACAAAAATTCAACTAAAAATAAAACTGTCACAATAGTTGAAAAGAAAAGGCAACTACATGTACGATAACGCTGAGGAAGAGTAAACTTGATTAATTTAACAATTAATACTGCTTTTGTGTATTAATAATGGTTATAAATAATTGGGTATAATGACCAAGTTTCGTTTGGTATTCCTTTCGTTCACAATCACTTTTAGACGAGTTAGAAAAATTGTCTTGAGCTTCAAAGATAAAACACATTCTGCTTGTGAAAGCGATTAATGACTGAATTATGACTATGATTATCAGTTTTGACTCCTATTAGTCAAAATGATTGAAAATTCATCCCTGTAGTTTAGCCTATAGGCTACTGACGGTGCAGTCATACACTCAATGGACTCACGAACTTTACCAACGTACCAATTAAACATATATGTGTTAATATGTTCGCATACACAACGTCAATCTTTCAAAGTGACAAAACACGGTCGTGTTGTAATATGCTTTTTTTTTAAAGGGACGAGAAAAGGAAAGAAAGGGAGACATGGAGAGAGAACAATTCGTTAGCTTGTTGTTGACAAACCTGGTCCAGACCCGCTAAAGGGGAACGAGGACGGGGTTACCATTTTGCACCTAAAAATGGAACTTATCTCTCATCAAGGACCCCACCGTGCATGAATTTGGCAAGCTCGTTTTTCCCCACTTCACCTCTTCAATTCACCTTTTTATCATATTACGCTTTGCTTTCCTCTCTGCCAGACTCTCCCCCCCCCCTTCTCTCTCTCTCTCTCTCTCTTTCTTTCCCTCCCCCTCTCGCTCTCTCTCCCCCTCTCTCTGTCTTACTCTCTCTCTCTCTCTCTCTCTCTCTCTCTCTCTCTCTCAATGTTCCCGACCATTCTGTCCCATCGAAGAGTACCTATCATTTGCTCTCATCTCCTTAATCTATCCAGTTTTTTTTCACATAGGGATTTCATCTCACGAAGTTTATCTCATACATGCACACGTATTTCTCTCTGAATATTATGAAAGCTTATCAACAACTCAATAATTCATTTACTGATCACAATTCATCTTAGGTTTGTGTTTTCAAAGATAATGTTGAGTTCTGGTCATGCGATTGCATTGTGAAAGTAACGGTGTGAAATCGTTCAGAAGAATTTGATCATAATTATAGCAACTAGGTATCGGTGTGTACTGCAAGGTTCTGGAGTCATCAAATTGATAAGAAATTGTACCCTGTCTTGGTAAAGTAACAAGCATGTATATGGGACTACACAAACATTTGAAGAGCCATGCTTTTCAGGGAACGCTTTTCTTTGATGTTCTTCCACACTTGCATAATAACAATGATAACGCTCACAAATTATTTTTCACCTCTCCCAAAACTCAACCTTCTCTTCTCTTCTCGTCTAGCAGTGTTAAATTCGAGGAAAGTTCAATGTACTTGAATTCTTCGAATAAAATTGTATAAACATGATTCATTTTACATTGAGAGAAAAACATTTCATGCATTCTCATATTCCTTATTAAAAGAAAACATTCCGAACATTCGTGACTACCTGCATGGGAGCTACCCAAATCATACAAACTGGGTGGTAACCGATGGTTGTCATCTAAATACAGATGTCACCTTTAATACATAGTGTCCCATAAAAACAACAGGCGAAAATACTTTTCAAGTAAGAGACGTGACTAGTACGTAAACATACAACATTTCCCTAGCTACCATGTCCATAAGCCTACCCTATAGTGTCCAATCGGCTCATTTTGAGGGAGAGAAATAAGAATAAAATTATCATTAGCATCCCTAAAGCAGGAACATTATGGAATTAGCTGCATTACACATTCATATTTCAAAAGCTGTGACGTCATTATAAGAACATCATGACTTTAAAGATGTAGGGAACCACATATTTTACTGGTACGACTACATTGAAAAGTTATCAGAATTTCCCCCGTAACTGTAATCCACCAACTTAATATCGGCCTATCGTGATCAAAATCTAGACAACAATCTCTTAGTACAGACAAATAAATACATAAAAGCTCAGAGAACTGAATTTGGAGAATATCCACCTGCTTTACATCGCCATTCGTCACACATGGGATGGGTGTGCGACTTACCTATCAACCCAGCCCAGCGTGCTTTGTCTCAGGACTTCTTATCACGCAGCATGTACAGGTTCAAAAGATCACGATTTACAGGACCAAATTGGGATTAAATTCCCGGTTCCTAGATTTAGTAACATTTATCTCATCATCTTTGTTGTTTTGGCCCAATTATTCGAGTTAACGTTGAGCTCACCATACCTATCACAGCGCAGAGCATGTATACTCCCCTCTCCACCTACTTGATTTGGGTGGCGGAGACATATCTACTTTTTGTACATCTGTGGGTCAAGTAAATTGGATGGCGGGAAAACAGATATTGAAAATTCATACTTAACACCTACAGAAGTCGTCCGTCGAAATGGACAAAATGAAAGTAAAACATATCAAACCAAAGGGCATCCTGCAATTTAACAATTTGGGTATATTTTGACGGTGGTTTGTCACTCATCCCATATCTTCTGATGTTGTTTCTATGGCGATGTTCGCATAACTGAAAATCACGATACCATTTATTTTAGGAAGACGTGGACATCCCGCGCCCGTGCATAGACATGTCGTCACGTGTGTGTTAGGTACTGTCTGATGAAATGTAAGATTGGATCAACTGTCTTGAGCCAACAATCATACCATTTTTTGATTTCAGAGGATGTTTGTTCTGCAAAAAAATAATAGTACAAGGTGTGAACAGAATCGACCGGAAGCAAGTGTCTTTCTGTGACCTGGGACTACACAGGTGGCTGAGCAAAACATTTGAAACGAGCTATTTATCCAAAGTACCCGTAGGTCCATTGATATGTCTGTCTATAATTTTCGTTTAGTTTCCTTGTTGAATGAATCATATTTGAAAACAATTGTTCTTTTAAATTTTGCATGGAATACCGGAACTTATTCATACAAAAATGGCAATGAAGTAAAATGTTTACTATAGGCTTACACCCTAACAAATAGGGGAGAAAGGGACTCAAGGAAATAATTGGAAAGAACGGTGAACTTTCACATAAGTTCAACCGTAGAGGATAGTAAAATGTAATAACGTGGTATAGAAACACATATACGAGATTTATAAAATAATTTAAAAAACAATAAAATTTACGCCCAATGATATTGAAAGTTAGAGAAAATATTTAAATGGCGGAAAGAAGGAGAAGAAAACTATTTTTTGTAATTCTTGATAAAACCAACAAACTGTCGCTATGGTAATCCAGACAACAAAGTCGACAAAACATGCGAGTGACTCTGAAGCAGATCTGAACGGAATAAAATCACGTTCTTTGAAAAGAAAAGTGCTTTGCTGCTGTCTGAGATGTCGCCGTATGATATGGATCTACATTATCACAATCCATCGTACACGGGCTATTATCAAGGACTATGTTATTATTTATAAGAAGGCCAATACTTGACGTAATTAGATCTGCTGGCATACTACGCTGAAGTGAGCGGAAGCAATATGTGGTTTATAACTGGCATCTCAACCCTATCTACTGATGTCAAAATGTGTTCATTTATTTACGTCATTTTGTGTATTGTTGGCCAGTCTTGATATAGTTCTTTCATAACCTTCCTGATCGTCCACGATAAGCCATTAAAAGCCTTGGCATCCAACGCTCACTGCTTACGATTACGTGAAGAAAGTTGTCTATTGCGTAAAAGTATACTTGCCATACTGCCGAAATTCGTATCATCCTGATGTATGCACAGTTACAGAGTAATGTGAACTGTTTGCTACAAAAGAATATTCTGCAGGCAATTAAAAATACACGCTCTAGGGAAAAATTCTTCCATGAACGCTTCAAAAACTTCAATAAGTTTCCATTTCGGGGCATAATCATGAAACCCAACAAGGCGTTTTCATAACAGTTTTTTTTCTTCACACTGTCTTCTTAAGTGTGCATTATTAAATCTCAGATTTTTGTTTCGCCCAATTTACACCTCTACGGGTGCAGAGGTGTTAGAAATGCACCCCATCAAGTTGAACATTGCACCCCTGTCGGTTCTTTTATTGGGACATTTTAGGTATCAAAGTGGTAAGTGCTTTCTCGGTGTGTCGGGGATATTGTCAATTTTCGTCAATTTTCGTCACCCTTTGAGGGTTCTGGTAAAGAATATAGGAGTCAAACGGAGCTGACACCTTTAAGGCAGTCATCCGAATGAATACCGATAATGAAGGCGAACTGACTTTCTGAGGGCAAACAGACGAAAAGAAAATCCACTTTTTCAGAAGACGTTATTCGGTATCATTTCATTTAGAGTTATATCCACTCCAAATAACATAGTTAAATCTACTCCAAATTAGCGGTTAGATCAATCTTTTCAGGGTGGATTCCACTATAACTTTTGTTATGTGAATTACACTCTGAATCAAAAGAATCCTTAACACGACCCCCCCCCCCCAAAAAAAAAAAAAATAAATAAATAAATAAATAAATAAATTAAAAATTAAAAAAATAAATAAATAAGTAAATAAATAAATAAATAAATAAATAAAAATAAAACAATAAAAAAAATCCACCTCTGTACCTTAAGAGATAATCGTTTAAAGGATTAAGTATCTTTGTCTTAGATTATAAACATTAAGCTCACGCTGTAATCATATTAATATATAAACGTTTAGGTCAGTCAGGAATCCCATGACTTTACAAGCCGATCGTCTGTCTGATTTTCAAGATATTTATGATTGGAATTCAAAATTTCAAAAACCGTTTTCCCAACGGTTTTCATAACACTACATTCTATTGGGGGAAATGAGTTTGGTGGAAACCGGTCACTCAAAGATTTTTACTTTTCTGAGGCACTTCATGATCATTTTGAAGCGCTTTTTTGTAGGGCTTTAATATTACACCATATCACAATAACCGATAACACGTAGGGCCATACATCTCAGATTTGTAAAACTGGAAATATTGTTAAACAATGCCTTTAACACATTTAAGTGATTATTATTGATTTTTTTTCCTTCTGTCTTTCTTTACCTTCCCGGTCCACTTGACTCCTTTCCAGATGCAGAAGTAGCAGATAATCCACGCAGCTAGAAGCGTGACGGCGAGCTGCCAACGAACCTTACCGGGTTGATGAATCCCATCACTCTCTTCTAAAACATATTGCCTGCGGGGGAATTAAGATGTAGATTTTATGAATTAAATGCATCGTGGTATATAACATTTTACATTACAAATGAATCTATAATTCTGGAACGTGCAATAAAAATCATTATTGAAATTATCAATATTATACATACATGAACATTGCTTAAATGACTTAATATATCTTATCTTATCTTATCTTATCTTATCTTTATCTATCAACGAAGATAGTCATTTACCATTCCGCATTCGCAAGATGTCATACGGTACTCTAAATATCTAGATGAATGCAAAGCCATATTATATTGGGCTAAACCCTTCATCTTTTACTAAACAAATTTTCCTTTATTAAAAGAAAATATATTTCATTCCATAGGATTATTGTGTGTGAAGTCCGTTTAATTTTTATTATAAAATTGAAGAGGGTGGCAAAGCCATTATATATATTTTTTTTATTCTATTTTTTTTGGGGGGAGGGGTCTTCATCAGGACATTGGTAAATATTAGCGATAACTATCTCCTGTTCCCTTTTTCCATTTTTTTTCTCGGCCCATCCCCTCCTTGTTGGGTGGTGAGTCCATTGTTGAAACTGAATTCTCAGTACTTACTTCCAGAATTCTGTGGTAGGATCTGTGGTGTAGTTGTTGGCCAGTGTTTGGTTGGTTGTACAGTTGAGGGTGTTGAAGTCGTTATCGCAGTGCGACCATGGCAACTTGGAGGTGAACGAGTTCGCCAGGTAGAGCAGAGCCCACGCGATCACCACGATGTACCAGACGTTGAGCCAGAAAGACATGACCACGGCTGCGTAACCAACACCTTTTAAAAACCAAATTAAACAAATCAAAGCGAGTGTCAAAATGATTGTTGATATAATTATTCTCAATATGGTTACGTCTTAAATGTGTTCTTGCACATGAGTATTCCCGAATTGTATACAACCAAATTTTTGAGTTACACAAGCACGTTATTTTTAAAGTTTATAATCTCCAATATTTCTCTTTATGTATTCTCTGCATGCATGTCAAGTTTTACGATTGTCATTGTGTTTTCATGAACCGAAGTAAACTAATCTTCATACAACTTGTATCAAAACTTCGAGGGGAACAATGCCAAATCTATAATAGGACTCTAGAATCTGCTACTTGCCGCTTTATAGACAACTTATTGGAGCTCGGTCAAATTCGGACTCTAATTTCCCTTGAAAGTATGAATTTGAATCTTTAACTTTATTTACAGATGTGTATCAAACTAGACTATTAATGATTGTATTTACAAGTCGTCGAACATGAATAAGGTTTTAAAGGAATTAAATTGTTATATTAGGTAATGGAAGCAGGATTCATGCTCCAATTGTTTGCCTAGCTTCCTGCTAAAATTTAAGAGAAAAGATTATATTCATTCAGGATAAAAGTAAATCCCTAGCATCCTGAAAATAAGATTGGACTATATTTATGTCAAACACATGTTCTATGAACCATAACAACGCGTTACGTATGTGATATATGGTTTGTTTTAATACCGATAAAGAATAAGAAAAGGACGAAAGGATACTTACAAGCCCTTTGTATCAACATAAATTAACACTAATTAATACATTTATGCTTGTGTGGTCTTGGTAAATCAAAGAAAAATCAAATTTCTACAGAAAATTAAACAACTTTACTTGAAGAACTTTAAAAAAAAATAATTGTGTAGCGCCCTCTGCAACAAAACTCAACTATCCCTTTAAAAATGATCGGGTGAGGGGTATAGGTGAAGGAAAAAAGCGTGCGTGTAAATATGAGCATCGGTGATGATTGTTAGTTGCGTTTCACGGGTGGCGAATCACATCTCATCATATCCGCTCTCGATCGATAGTCTCTATGGAAGATCTCGCGGGATATGGTAACCATGGTAACTAATCTATAAGAGTCACTAATGTCCAGGAACGCGAAATATCGGGAATATGCAGTGCAAGAGATGGGGGCGAGTGATCTTTGGTTCTGTTTTTTTTTTTTTTTCTTCTCTTTTCTTCATTATTGTCTCTTATTTTCCGTCTACTTTTCTCTTCCCGCTTAGTTGTTTATACTTTGTTTTCTTTATTTCTTCTCCTCTTTTTTTCTTGAACATCTATTTCATATCTCTTCCTTTTATATCTTTGAAACTGTCGGTAATTATGAATATTACACTGAAGAGAAAAGAGAGACAAAAGAGACAATACGTATCATATATTACTTGTTAAGAATCAAGGAATTGTCTTTTCCTCCAGTTCATCCCACCCTATTTGTTTGTCTTCATTACGACGGTTAAGTAACCTTCTAGTTATTGGTCCTATTCTGCAAAAAATTATCCTTTCTTTTATCTTGTTTTTCTTTATTCTATCTCTTCTGCTCTCGTATCATTATTTTCATATACTTTTTATTAATTCATTTCCTTCTTCGTCACCGTCATCATCTTCTTTTTCCTCCTCTTCCCCCTTCTTCTTCTTCTCCTTCTCCTCGTTCTCCTCGTTCTCCTCCTTCTCCTCGTTCTCCTCCTTGTCCTCCATCTCATCTTGTACTTTCTATCATCAATTTTTTCGTATCCTCTCTAGTCTCTATACTATTTTCTGCTCTCTTTTTTCTTCTCTCTTCATTTCAGTTCATGGCCAATTTGACAATGTTATTACATCTAATGTGCAGAACAGCTGAGCAATACATGTATGGTTCGGCTGGCTAGCTGAACGTTGGGGGAGAACAGATTTGTCATTTTGATCAACTCCGGGTTCGAGGTAGATACACTTGTTTTGTTTTTTGGGGGTGAGGGGGTTGAAGGGATGAAGAGAAAATAGGATTTTTCTTTTGCTCGATAAAAATTGTCTGACGTCACATAAAATAGTGGATGTCCCGTCTTTTGTAGTTATCATGATTTTAACACCAAACCTGGGCGTAATTAAAAAAAATAAAGGCCACATTTGTGTGCAATTCGATCGCCACCATTAATTTGAAAGAGCTATCACATTTCCCCGTTTTTTTCTTCATCATTATATCAAAGTTCCGCAGACAGATCAGCCAACAATGACTTTCAACAACTTTCTTCGTCAAATCATCCATAGAAAGCCCCTCAGAAAAATCAAACAAAAAAACTAGGCCGACTTCACGGGGTAACATAAAATAGTACAATGTGTTAAATATTCTTCAACATTTATATTGAGGTCGTCAGCCATTGGGCATGTTGGCGAAACGATTACAGGTTTAAAAAAGGACCCCTGCGCGTACGGAAGCCCTCTGTGTCTGTATCCGCCCCCATCTTTGTACCAACCCCTCGCTGCGCCGCAGCGTAGCGTAACCTGATCCCAAGCTCCGAAGATAGGACACTTCTCACCGGGACATGAAGCACATTAATACATCAGAATGTCCCAATTGAGATATAATCGGTTATGACACGATTTTCTCCATGCTCTGAAAGAGAACCGGCATGCATCACGTACTTATACCGTCCTAGTCGGTTAGTTTATAGCGCCCTCCCTCTTACCCTCCTGTAATAGTCGGAGAAGGTTTATCATCATAAAATCTTCCTACAGTTTGGAACGTATATTGCCAGTAATATGTCAAGACATCGATCAGGTACTACTAGAAGGTCACATGAAACTCCATTTTACTGAATTTCTAAGACACTTGTCTTCCTCAAATACCTGTGATAAAATATTAATATAAATTAAACAACTATAACGTATATTGTTAGTGACAGAAACATTTAAGACATTGTTAGATGTTTTCCTTGTATCTCTCATTCAAATAATAACAATGAGATGTGCATTTGGGGTTAGACTGTGTTACAACAAGTGACGGATTATTATTTATTCACTATTAAAGATCGTCGTTATTATCTAATTATGCGATGATTAAAAAGCAGTATGTATAGGCCTATTCCTTAAGCTTTGGCGAATGATTCTGATCACGTGATATTAATCATGACAAAGATCGTGTGTCGTCATTCACCTTAATCGTTTTAGTAGCTTTACAATTGGCACAGGAACTCGGGAATATGGAGCAATAGACGAACATCTGTCTGTCACTAATAGCCTAGATCCGTTATTGCAATTGAAAGAATGTGTCGTGTATAATTATATCAGAAGTCAAATTTCAGATTCGTTTCAGTGGATGCCTAGGTGTTAAACCCGACGAAGCATAACATAGAATCAAAATTGTAGTTTTGCAACCGGACAAATTAAAGCATGCATATCCCTGGAACGACTGCCAATTGCATGATTATGAGCATCCGAATAATTTTAACAAGTTTCAAACTCGGATGTATGTACATGTATATAATCATACTTTCGTGTGCTCCACAAATTATTTCGTTTCGAACGAATAGGAAACTTTTGTTACCAACCAACACTTTCCTTTTCTAGGGACGGGCGTTGTTGAAAGGAGAGACTGAACCGTTTGAATTGGGTGACGAGAGAGAAAGAGAAAGAGAGAGAGAGAGAGAGGGAGAGAGAGGGAGGGAGGGAAGAAGAGAGAGAGAGAAAGAGAGAGATAGAGAGATAGAGGGAGAGAGAGAGAGAGAGAGAGAGAGAGAGAGAGAGAGAGAGAGAGAGAGAGAGAGAGAGAAACGGTGAACAGAGAGGAAGAGATTGAAAAATGAAGAGAAACTGACCTTGTCTGAATCTGGTTTTATCTATTCTGTACCTGTCTTTGTAGAGTGAACAATATTATTCTATGCTGAGGACACTTCCACCAAGTCGATGACGCGTCGGTGGATTGACTAGTAAATATAAATGTTCTGGGTCACTTCCTAAAGCTGCACGAATCTCTAGAGAATTTCAAAAAAGCAGACAACCTCTTGTTTTCCGTTTCACAAAATCAACTATTGTCGAACGGGGCTGTTATTTGAGGTGAAGTTTTCTCCGACATTTTTGTATATATGGCATGGTAATATAAACAGCGTGATATTATTTGGTATAATTTCCATAAGGAGGTTAAAAGGGGTAATAAAAGGAACTCCTTTTATTCAGAATTGACCCTTTTCCCCATAATTACCAAGTAATATGTTGAGTCGGCGTTTGATAGTCAAGAAAATATTAATACAACTTGCACTGGGCCGATGCGGCATGGGCGATACGCACAAAATACGTTTCGCCCCTGTTCAAAAATTTCTGGATGCGCCAATACTAAATTATCAAAATTAAAATATAAAGGAGATGTCCTGAGGTTTTAATTCGTGCGGGAGGGGGTCCCACGAAAAATGGGAAGCATAGCATAGACCGGACCTGGTTTTAGTGTATGTTTATTTTTTAAACGCTTAAATCATGAATTAGAGAAAGTTATATTCCCACACCAGTTGTGTTCGGGAGGATAAGGGTGAGAAAGTTAAGCCCCCCCCCCCCTTCCCATACACAGGTACATTCAAGATTGTCTCAGCTTCTACTATAATTAAGAAAAACTAAATTATTCTACACATATGAAATGATTGATCATATCAAGCTAGTTGAAGCAAACCTACTCCTAATGAAATGAACAGTGTGTATTCAGAAAGACAAATGCGACCCCTTCAATGGCTAGTGGCAAGTGTTCCAATTTCCTAATGGTATTCTCGGAACCCTTCCTTATTTTTGTCTCCTGAACATTTTGCAATCTCTGTGATTGAAAGGGGTCGAGATTCCTTCCAACTTCATCTCTTCAATCTTCAGAGGCGTCATGTACAGGACCATTTTTAGGGGGGGGGGGTGTTCTCTGGCCAAATTAGACGACAAACTAGTTGATTTTTTTTCACAACAGCAACGAGCAACGATTTGTTTTTGTATTAATTTATTTCCACATGCGGGGTGGATTACCCTTTCAACTTAAGTTGGT